AGTCCTTTATTGCTGAGAGACCGACCGACCTTGTCTCCATAGCAATTCAGGAAGCTTTTGCTCCTGACACAACACTCGCGATGTACAATCCTGGCGCATTGGCCGTTTGCCGCTGTCTTTTGAAATAAAGCATTTATATTCAGTCCCGGCGCATGCGCACTCATCGACTGAGAGACTGATCTCCCTGTCTCCATAACAATCCAGGAAGCTTTCGTTTCTGACACACCATCTGTGACGTGCAGTCCTGGCGCTTGCGCCATGAGACACTCGAGATTTGTGTCCTTTCGTTTCCTTAGCAACCTATGACGGATAGCTTCTGCTCCGGCGCTTTATAGTGATTAAAATCTGCATGTCTTTATCATCTTGCGGCTATCGTTTTATGAGTTTGTACCTAGGTCGCGATCATGTTGACCACTATGCAGCCACAGCATCGATCTGGATCCCCTGATTGCTGGTATGATTTTCTATTCATTTATTTAATTTGTAGTCTGTTTGTTCGTTTTTTACTCTTTTGACCTTTTAAATATGGCTTATTTGCCTCCCCTATGACATCACTGAGGGTGTGTTTTTCAATCATTAATTAACTACATGGGGTATATATGTGGTGTTTGATTGTTACCATATTGTCACATCTTTCTGCCTTGAGGAAGGGACCTTGCACGGCCCCGAAACGTCGGTTTATTTGGATGTCTGTGACGCTTTCTGTCCAATAAAAGGGACATATTTATCTTTACTACTGAGTGCTGGTGATGTCCTGACTTTCCAGCTACAGTACCCACATTTATTACAGCAGAGCTACAATACTGGCAATTACAGTACCGCTAGTGACGATTATTACAATACAGCTACAAAACAATTATTACAGTACCACCACAATACCTGCAATTACAGTACAGCTACAATTACAATACCGCTACAGTACCTGCAGTTATTACAGTACAGCTATAGTACCCACAGTTATTACAGTACCGCTACAATATCCACACTGTAACAGCAAGCTGTGCTCACAATTTTCCCACTCTCACGCCCTTTAGCCCCCAGCATTTTCTCCCATTTGACTATCTCCTTTTCTCTCTCTCTCTCTCTCTCTCTCTCTGCTGTATGTGTTTTGTATTCTCGCGCAGCCGCGTCCCCCTCCCTCAGCACAGGTTTACTTTATTACTCACCCCCTGCTATTCTTCACACACCACCACTTCTGCTCTCGTGGATTCATCTGCCTTCTGCTCAGTAGGCCCCCTCCATGGACACTGCTACTGGTGTGATGACACTTACACAGCCTATCTCTCCTGGCTCTAGCTCTGGTTCTCTCAGCCTCACAGCCCTTCGGTCTTCAGCTACACACACTCATTCTGTCCAAAGGCTCTCTCACTTCCCACACACTGTCCAGTCAATGAGCGACAGACCTCTCGAATACCGTTATCCCTGCTCTTCAAAAAGCCAGGAAGTTGACCTCTCGCAAGGTCTGCTATCGCACGTGAAAGGCATTTTTTTGCTTGGTGCATAGCAATGAAGTTTCTTTATAGGAAATACTCCGTAGAACCCATGTTATCTTTCGATCAGTCTGGCATAGACCAGCATTTAGTCTTGTTGACTATCAAGGGGCAAATCTTTTCCAGAGGCCGCTTGCCTCTCACTCTGTCAAAGTGAGCAACCACTTTGTTCAGGTAGTTGCTCACATTGCCCTCCCCTATATGCAGTTCTATAGTTCTGTCAGCTCTGCAGAAACCACCCTTTGAACCTCTCGGGTATCCCTCTGACCCTATTTACTTGTGAGGTTGCTTTAATCATCATTATTATCATCATCACTTGGCCAGGCATTTTTATTTTGATTGGCAGCTTTAAGGAGCCTTTTCTAGTTATCCACAAGGAAGTGCGGAGATGTAGGGCCGCCCTTTTTCCTACGGTGATCTCTGCCTTCCACCATAACTAGAACATTGTTTTACCATTCTTATGTTGTGCCCTAAACATCCAAAATAGATTTATCTCTATTGTTTGGACACAGTACCCTCCTATGATCTCCCCTTATACTGTTTGCTGCAAAACTAAGGTAGGCTATGAGTAGGAAGGCTGTTCAAAGCTGCCCTTACAGTTCTAATTTTCCAGTGTCCTATCACCTGAAGGTAGCTGCATTAACCCGTTGGTTCCAGAATTAATTCCCTGTGATGTAGTCCAAAAACAGATTTTACAGGTAAGATGAAAATACTGGAGGTGCACCAAAATCAAATGTTGAAACCGAAATTAGAACAGTCAGGCCGAAACCGAAAAAAAAAAATTCTAACCTTTATCATTTTAATTTATTTTTTTTTCTAAACGTTTTATTCTTTTTTCTATTTATTTATTTTCATAAATGTATTTTTTAACTCTACTGTCAGGGTCTCAGGAAAATATCAGGGGTCTAAAATAAAAAAGATAATGAGGACACAAAGTCCTCCATCTCTTTTTCTGCAGCCCCTGTTATGAATTCACAGGAATCCTTCATACTGAGTGCTCCTGTTCATTCATAACTTGTGGAGATGGTATGTTTACTATATCGACAATCATGAATGAACAGGAAGTGATGTAGAACACTTCCGGTTAATCATAATTGGGGACACAGTAAACATACTATGTCCTCCATTTACGAACAGTCAGGCATCAGCTGATTGCTGGCTGCATTATCCGCTCTCCATCCCGACTCGCTGTCACAGGAGGCAGTGCGGACGGTGAGAGGAGGAGAGCTTGGTCTGTTTTGACAACCAACTCTTCCCCTGCACCGCAGGCCCAGCCTCCTGTGACAGCTAACAGCTGTCTCCGCCCCCACACAGCTAAAAGGGCAATTTTTGGTCAATATGTTTTGACGGATCCAAAATTATTATACAGGATTTATTAAGCGCCAACAGTTTGCACAGAGCTTTAAAATATACGGAAGACATTACAGTTAAAATAAAAGATAAGATGGTAAGGAGGGCCCTACCTGTGGGAGGAGAGCTCGGCCTCCTGTGACAGCTCACAGGGCTCTTTGCCCCCACACTGCTCTCCATCCTAATCTGTCACAGGAGGCCAAGTGAGGCGGTGTGGGAGGAGAGCTCGGCCTCCTGTGATAACAATGACAGCACTCTCCTCCTCGCCCTGCTCAGCCTTCTGACAGTTTTTCTCCTCCCTGCTGGACGCTCCACTGTGCCAGAGGGGACACAGAGCAGCAACCAGCGAGAAGAGAAACTAGGAATGTACCGCAATTTCGGCCAAAAGATGGTACATTTTGCCCAAAGTGCCATTTTCGGGCAAAATGTTTCAGCGGACGAAAACATAATTTTCCTAAATGTGCAATACCTAAAGAATGAAAAGATTGTAATGCATTTTTACATGCTATTATAAACTGCCTGGCCAAGAAAAAGTAACACACTCTAATATTTTTTTGGTCTGCCTTTAGCTTTGATTATGACATGCATTCGCTGTGGCATCATTTCGATAAGATCTTGTAGTGATAAAGGGAGAGTTGGACCACTGCAGGTTGGCAGATGTGGCTGTACACCACACCGATCACTGTATTTCTGTAGCTGCTACAGCCAGATGTTTCAAATTCGCTTATGACAGGAAGCCTGCACATTTCAATGACAGACTGACTCTGCCCCTGCTTGTTCACAAGTGGATTCTCAAGCAGCGTTTACGTGCGGCTGGGGACAGAAGGTAAGCTCTGTACGCAAACTGTATGCACCCAGGGCCGCTCCTCTGTCCCTAACAGCAAGTGTTTGCGTTGTGTGTACATACATGCGGACAGCTGCGGAGCCTCTCAGCCTGTCATTGATTTGTAGAGGCTGAGCAGCCTCCGCTCATAGGAAACACGTGGCTGTACCTGCTGAAGAAATATGTGAATTTGCCCATGGATGGGGTAAAGATAACCAGGAATATCACCTGTGCTTACTGGACTCTTACTGGAGCTTTCCAAACTTTTGTGTATTAGCCACATAGCACTCTCCATGTCCAGGATGTGGTGTGGTATGTCTGAGGACTTCTTCTTTTTTTGTGTCTAATATACTGAACCTACCACATTACTGGTACTGTTTAGCACTCCTATTACCACCCTGTTCTGTTGGTTTCTGCAGAAAGGGTTAACATGCTGGGGAATTGTGTGTCACGAACATCAGTATTGACTATGGTGATTTTAACATCTCTAAGCGACGTTTCAGAACCAAGTGGTCCCTTCCTCAGGCAAACAGAAAATGTAATTTATCCGAAACGTCGCTTAGAGATGTTAAATCACCATAGTCAATAAAGTGATTGCCTGGATTTCGCTTTAGAGTGTGAGTGACTTTATTCTGGTTCTACAAGATTTGCGGAGGCATCAGCTGTTACTGCTGCACCCACCCTGTTTTATTGGGTACTTTCCGGTCAGGAGTGCGATGCAGTGACGTGCAGTACCTCTGGTTCTGGGTGAGGCATTCCCCAGCCTCGCCCCCACCATGCCCCGCTGACCGAAGTCCCACCCCCCAACTCGGTCCCTAAGCTAGTATGAAGAAGTAAGGGAGGAGGCGATGGGATATATCGAATTTTAAGACTAACATCAATATCACACGTGCGCATTCCACACCCTTCTGTGCATGCCACCATTCTGTGTTTATGATTCTGTCTTTGGTACTGCCTTGCTACAAAACTGAGGCATCATGGTTGGTAGTAGGATGGTTTTGTTTTTTCCTGGGCTGGCTTCGTTTGTTTGCCAGTGTCCAATCCTTTCACAGTTGGGAATATAATTGACTTCAAGAAAAGGCTTTTACAGCAAGTACAAAAATTCCTATTTTTCTCTTTTGTGTGGAAAGCAGAACTCGCCAACACCCACTTGTAAGAGATCTAGATATGTACCATTTGTAAGGTTCCTGAAAGAGATTTGAAACTGCTACTATTATACACATATATATGCTTATTACATGTTCAAAGGGGTATTGTAAGAATGTTGAAATGTATTATTATGTTTGTAATTTGAAATGTATGTATGATTATGTTTGTCATTTGTGTCATGTTGACAGACAGACCCAGAGAACACAGATTATGCCATGGAGCATGGAGCTACACGCAACTTCCAGGCAGAAAAGCTTATTGAAGAAGAGGAGAAAAGATTCCAGAAGGAAAGAGAGGAGGAGGAGCTCAATAACCCAATGAAGGTATGCAAACAATATAAATGTGTTAGGAGAGGGGCAAAACTGCTTTTCCCAGAGGTTATTTCTTCACCACCAGTAAAAGTAACAACAGATCATTAGAAGAAATCACCATTACAAAGCTGTTTGAAAAAGTGTTTGCTTGGGTTGGAACACAACAAAGGAATTTCTGCATCTCTTGTAGCACACATGATGAAGGGAAAGACAGGACAGGTTATAGAGATCCATGTCAAGCGCATAGTCAGATAAAAGGAACAAAAAACAAAATCTGAGAGACTGAAGCCATCAATGTTGAATCTGCTGCGGGAGAGCAAATACATGTGAGGCATATTAGTCAAGAAAACACACAACTGTCCTAAGAAACCAAACAGTAACAAGACATTATGCCTCCATACATCACTGGTACAAAGATACTGCCATAGATCCTGCGCTCAGCAATATGTATAACCTGAAATAGCTGTTATAAAAGCTAGGAGTTTTGAAAACGTTACATTGATGAATATGCATCTCTCTGTGTTATAGGTGCTAGAAAATAGGACAAAGGACTCAAAGATGGAGATGGATGTATTGGAGAATTTGCAGGAGCTAAAGGAGTTGAACCAGCGGCAAGCAAATGTGGACTTTGATTCAATGTTGGTTCACTACAGGGAGACAGAAGAGGAAATAAAGAGAAGACAAGAAGAGGAAGATGAGAAGGAGATGAGGTATATATTTGAAGGGAATGGAAGCTAGCACCGTATTTTTGCATGAAAAACTGTTATACATAAAGCTTTTTTTTACTGTATGTATTCTTTAGGGCAATGCTTAATGAAGCCCAGAAAAGGCAACTGGCAACTGATTCTGATTCTGATGAAGATTATCCCTCTACTCTGTCTAAGCAACCTGTGAACACCATTCAAACTGATATTCTGGCAAAGGTAAATTATCTTCTGAATTTCAAGCTTTAGGTAGTTTTCGTTAGCAATGAGTGGTAACAGAAAATAGAAAAAAGGAAATGTAAACTACTGGTGCTGTGATTTTAAAACATACTTCTGTTTAGCTTTCTTTAATGTATTGGATAAATAAGTTAAAGGAGAACTATGAGATGAGTGATTTCCACTCACCTCATAGTTCTAAGCCGACCTGTGACAATGAGACTGTCACAGGTCGGCTCAGTAGATCGGGAGGTCAGGGAACACATACCGGGTTCCCTCACCTCTCGATCCTGTCACGGCTCTCTGCCGTGACAGGGGGAGGGGCTGGATTCCCCTCTCCCCGCTCCGATCTGCCAGCGCTGACTGGCGGAACGGACGGGGGAGGGGGCGGGTACAGCTGGCTCTGCCTCTAGATAGGCAGAGCCAGCTGTCACTCACGCAGCTGGGCGGATCCCGTCATCTACGTCGGGATCCGCTCCAGGTGCGGCGTCTCAGTATACCGCGAGCTGTAGCTCGCGGTATACTGAGCCTAGGGTGACGGGAGGACGCTAGTTTGTGTCCTCCTGTTACCCTAAGGAGAACTATGGGGAAAAACACTGACCCCATAGTTCTCCTTTAAAATCTCATAGGCATGGCAAGCAGTATCTGTGTTGGAACAGGAAGATTCCACAGGTAGTATTCTCATCAACTTGTGTGATTATAAGGACATTACATCAGAATACAGCATTATACAGCATATTATATAATAATATTATAATATAATATAATAAAGCTTGCCAGTTCCCTGCTGTAGCTAATTTCAGAGAGATGGAGTCTACCTGTGCAGGGTTCCTGCTATTCATAGCACACAGCGACTGCCGAGTGTGTAAGCAGAGGTGCACAGTAAGGCTTCAGTGTTCCACTAAAACACTGTGAAGGTAATTTATCAGAACTGGAGCACACAAAATCTGGAGCAGCTGTGTATGGCAACCAATCGGCTTCTCGCTTTCATTTTGAAATCTTAACTGAACAAACTGAAGAGAGAAGCTGATTGGTTGTCATGCACAGCTGCTCCAGATTTTGTCTGCTCCAGTTTTGATAAATTCCCCCCTCTGATTGGTTGTCATGCGCAGCTGCTCCAGATTCTGTCTGCTCCAGTTTTGATAAATTCCCCCGTGTGTCTACTTTGTGCTTCCTATGAAGTATGGCGTCACTATGTCGCCCTGAAGAAGTAATTCGCGAAATGACGTTTGTGACATATTCAATAAATAAGCAAAATAATCTAATGCTTTTGACTGAGTGCTGGTGATCTCCATCTTCTGCTTCTACAAGCATTGGGGACAATCTCGCTCCATCAGGTGACCGCAGTCCATACTTTGTCTGCGAATGGTTCTGGGGTCATATACTCAGAGGGTACGGATGTTTGCTATTTGGGTTCTCGTGATCCTGCAGTTATAGGGTTTGACTCATTGGAGCCTCCTTCAGCTATGTCGGTTGCCTTTATGACAGTCAAGAGACTCTTAGCACACTCCAGCTCCAGGCCCTACAGGATTTACCTCTGACTGTCCTGCAACTTTAGCTCAGGCTAATACACCTGGTGTTATGACCATTTCTGACTCGAACTCAGAGAAACTGTTTTTTGAGGCACCACAATCTCCTGCTGTTACCTCAGAATTAGAAGGTGACATTTTGGACCTTATTGACACTACCTTGATTGTACTACCCTGCATTTGAAGGATCTGTGTGCTCGTTCCAGCCTGGAGTATTTCAGAGCTTTACAGTTTATAGGTTCCACTATACCTGCTATTTGAGGTATTCCTGTATGGGGATTGGAAGCACCCTAAAGAGTCCTGGGCCCCACATGAGTTTGTTTTCACTGCTACCCTATGTAGGCAATTTATTAGACAGTCATCTATACCTACTGTGGATCATCCAGCGACCCACCTTAACAGAACTACCAGCAGGTGAAGGGCATGCAGACCTTTTGGAAATCAACTGACAGACAGTTGGAATTCCTTCTTAAAGTCCCATTTCTCATTCTCAGGGGATTTGGCTCCTTGTCCCCAATGCCTGTGACCCCAATTTGTCTGTGACAGAAAAATATCTGTGGCTGTATGTAAGGATGGATCAGTAGTTTGGAGCCCTATGCTTTAGCTGTGATGGCTTTTTACAAGCATGGATCTGTTTGTTGGAAATACAACGGCATATACTGACATGTACTCATTGTATTACTGACTGTAATTATGTATTTTGAGCTGTAGATGGTGCTGTAGCACAATGTTAGTCTGTTAGTCTCTATGCTTATGCATGTTTATCTATGATACACAGGAAGTTCTCTCTGTATGCTGTATTCTGATGTAATGTCCTTATAAGCAAGTAAAACTTAATTCAGCATACCTCAAGATCGCAATGCTTTATCTAAGCACATAACTAACAGGTTATAGGTCCAGACACTAAACAGAACACTGCAAGTCAACAAGAGCCGCATCCAAGCCATTGAAAGATGGCAAGTAGTTCAGATATGAAGTTTGCAATCGCAAAGCTCCACAATACCAACTACCAGCTATGGAAGTTCAAGCTTAAAATGCTGCTAAGCAAAGACAACTTCTGGCAAGTACTGAGTACAGACAGACCCACTAATGGACCCATGGAGGAATGGGACAAGAAGAACAGGCAAGCAAAAGCAATTATAAGTCTGCTAGTGGAAGAAGACCAGTTCATCCACATCAGAAACAAAAATACAGCTAAAGGTATGTGAACTGCATTACAAAAACTGCATGAGCGTTCAAACTTAAACAGCAAACTATATCTGCTACCCAAGCTATATGAGAGGAGGCTAGAAAAAAGCCAGGAAATATGTGAACATGTGAATGCCATGCTGGAAATCGTAGAACAGCTACATGCTATTGGAGAGGAAATTAAAGATAACCACGTGATGGCATTACTGCTATGCAGCCTTCCAGAGTCATACAGTGCTGTTATTAACGCTCTAGAAACCAGACCTGAGCAGGAATTAACACTAGAGTACACCAAAGGAAAATGAATCGATAACTATGACAGAGATAAAGAAAACATGCACAATGAAGAAAATAAAAAAATGCAAAGCAAAACAAAGAAAGCAGAGCGTGTTTTCACTGTAAAAAGACTGGTCATCTGAAAAAGGACTGTTCAATCTAAAAAGCCAAGCAGAGAAGGCTAAAGGCGCCTACACAAGAAAGAGCTGAGGCAGTGTCAAAGGAATCTGCAGACGCATCATGGAGTGCTACCTTTTAAAATGACTCCGAACAGTATACCACGTGGATGGTGTATTGACTCATGCGCAACAACTCAAATGACTAGTGATGAGACCTTTTTCACAGAAATTGATTTTCAGTTCAAAGGACAAAGTTTTCCTAGCAAATGGAAAAATAATTACTGCGGAAGGGAACGGTCAAGGATTCTTGAACTGCATCACACCATCAGGGGACAAGCAGAGTATCCTCATGAAAAATGTACTGTATGTTCAGACCTAGAAGGAAACCTTCTATCCATGAAAACCCTTGATAACGGTCAGTTTAATTCCAAGGTGATGAATGTACAATCCGAAACAATAAGCAAATCCTCGCAAAAGGAAAATTGGATGAACACCTGTACAGACTCATCACTGCAAAGGAGCACGTCAAGGCAGCCACTCATTTTTTTATAAATTCTTTTATTTTATTAAAATATATTTTTTTATTTTATACAAAAAAGGGTTTGAGCAGGGGACACCAAGCCCCATCCTAAAGGCAGTGGACACAGCCACTGAACACATGCATTACATGAACAGTATCATCAGAACAACACTAAGGCAATTATAGTGGTAATATCTCCAATGACAGTACGTCCGTCTGTGGGCAGTTGAGATTGCTGAAATGGGCTATCAGAGACCCACTGGCAATCTGCCAACGGAGAAAGTAAGTACTTACATACATCGGGTAGGTTGTATGGGATGATGGTCATGAATAGTGTGGCGAGGCTCTGCGCACCAGGGTGACGTGCATCAGGTTTTCCTAAAAGCAGTACCTCGGGGAGATAGGCATTGTCTAGGTATTGCGGCATCTCGGGGGAGGCAAGGCATAATAGCTGTTATACTTCTCGTACTCCGGGTGCGAGCTCTAGTGCGGGGCAAGGCAGCCACTCATAATCCACACAACAACTGTATCCATCTACGGCACAGATGACTAGGACACTGAAACGTAAACCAAAAGAGAAAAGAAAAGATGGGGCTTTAAAAGTGTCTACTGACTAATGCCAGGGAGTATGTCTAAACATAATGTCAAGTAACTCATCAGTATAATAAAATTCATTTTTAATAAGGTAAATGCATGATTGACAGGGTATATAAAAATATCTCATATTCATTTTAAAACAATACTACATGAACGGCATGTCACCTCTATGGAACTCGTACAGATTAATATGTATAATGGCAATAATTCATCGTTTCTATATTAATTCTTTACAAAAAAAAGTCAAACAAATTATTCATCATATTAATGCAAATTCCATCAAATAATCTGTACTTGTCCCTTTCTTCGACGCGTTTCGCCATAGCTTCATCAGGAAGTTAATAGAGGTAGCCTGTGAATTCATGATTGAGATAAATGATGATGATGGTGAAATGACTTGCATCCGGGGGAGCCCCTCCACTCAGGCAGGAACAAAAGGTGTGGAGATGCCAAGGGCAAGCGGGAATGGCAAGCTCCCATGTCTGTTGGGGGGGCGGCTGATGGCCTCCTGGGATTTCCCTGGCCCCCTCGAAATGCTGGACGATGGGGGGGGGCGCCCTTGGACGACCCCTGACCCCGTAGCACACCGGACGGCTGTCTACTGACTTGGGCCGGGCCACCCCACGTCTTCTATACTAGGTTGTGCCATATATTGCATAATGTTTTTTGTCATCGTGATGCTGATCTCCCATGGTACTGTTATGTGCCTTATGTCCCGAGTGCCTATTCTATTGCCTTGATCCCATAATGTTATTTGGTCCCTCGCCTAACCAA